TCTGCCTACTCGTGATCTCTGTGTGTCAAATAAATAAAATCTTTTAAAAAATAAAATAAAATAAAAAATAAAAATTAAAAAAATTAAGCTGAAAATACATCTCACATAGTAGATATCTAGTAAGCATTTAATTAATATTGCATAATTCTGAGTTATTTCTCATGGGGGTTTTTAAAGGTAAGTCAGAATTTTTAGAATTCTTTTATCAACAAATCATCTTATAACTTTAGAACCTTCTCTGTACTTTCGAAGTTTTTACTTTTAATAGTATTTTTGTATTTAATTTCTCACGGTTGAAAAGATGAAATGTCTCTTGGAAATAGAAAAATGAATTTTTTAAATTAAATAATTCTTTTTAGACTATGCTTTTGGTTCTGTTACTTGCTCCTATAGAAAATAATATAAGCATCCCTTAAGAAATAACTTAGAATTGGTATTCATTCAAGAATTCATATAAGAATTAGGAATAATGTGGAAAACCAGGTAATAGAAATTAAAATTTTCATTACATTACTTTGAGGATTCTAGATATGCAAATCTGCAGGTTATTTTCCATGATTTTGTCCTTATCTTTAAGGTCTTAGACACTAAAACTTCCATCAGTTCATTCTCATTCAGTAATGTATGTATAGTTATTCATTGATTTAACAAGTCACTTTGTTCAAAGGCACTTGCCTCTATACCAGTCTTTTCAATGTCATCGAAATGCCATTTTATTCATATAACAGTTCAGCATGTAAAGAAGCTAAAGTTTCCCACTGGTTTAGAAGACCATGAAATGAAGCAGAGCAAAAGGTTGTAATGCAGTAGAATAAATTCATATTTGTGAATATTATGCTAAAGAGGTATTTGGGTAGCTTGGACAATTTGCCAGGGGATTGACAATGTAAACAAAAGCTTAAACTCTTCCTATCCAAGAGACGTTAAGTGTGGTCATATTCAAATTAAAAAATTGGCTGTGGTACTACGCGTTAGTTATGTCACCTTATGTAAGATGCTATCTCTCTCCAGTCCTCCATTTAAAATTGTAAGAGATTGAATTTGGCTCTGTCTTGTACCATATTTTTAAAATCTAAACAAAGTCAGCCTCCAGTATACCCACTGCAAATAATTCTTTATACTGACATATTACAAAAGCAAAGGAAAAAAGTTAAATCTTGTAGGTTTGTGTGGAAAGTTTAATATCACCTTAGAATTTGGGGAATTAAGGGAAATTATGTTTAATTTTGCCATTGTAGAAAAAGTTGTTAGATTTGTTTCTCCTACCCTTTGTCAAACTGACACCTTGACTGTGAGATACAGTAAAAAAAAATAAAAGAAAGAAAAACATTCCCTCCTGGAACTTGGAGAAGCGCTTGCGGTACTGTAAATGAAAAATAATAATAAAATTTTTAAAGTTTACCAGATAAAGCATTAAATTGAATTAATAGGACAATATGGAGTACTAGATGATTTAGTTAACTGAAGTTTACGATTACCCTAAACTTTTGTTTGAATATTTTCTAAAACATAAAAAGTTACACTATTTCAGTATATTATCTTAATACTGTTAAATTTTATGAGTAAGGAATCATTATCAAGTCATATAAAATATTCTGTAATAATAGGTATAGAAGTTTTAAGAATTATCTTCAATGTGTTTTAAGTCATATATACCAGAGGGTATTTGATTACAGGTTTTTTTGTGAAGTATAGTACAAAAGACTAATTCAGATTAACTAAGGAGTTGATTTGAAGAATTTCAATTTCCTCTAGGCAAAATTTCACTTTATTTTCAAGTTGAACATTACTATATTGGTATTCATGATTTGACAACACACTTAAAGACGTACATTCTAAAGGATTTGAATTATAAAACTTTCCGTTATAATCTGTTGCTTATAAGCAAGGCCATGTACTTGTATATTTCTCCTACTATCAGAAATTGGATCAGAAGGGATTAGATTACAAGAATGGCCACTGGTTTTGATCATGATTATGTATATGTGGTAGAGTGGAACAGTTTTACTAATACACAAATCTATTTTTGGATAGTGTGAAAATCTGAGTTGGTTGTAATTTGAGGCCTCAAATTCTGTGCATGAGAATAAATATAATTTTAAGTCATCAAAAATAGTTACTAGGGCACCTGGGTGGCTCAGTGGGTTAGGGCCTCTGCTTTCAGCTCAGGTCATGATCCCAGGGTCCTGGGATCGAGCCCCACATCGGGCTCTCTGCTCTGCAGGGAGCCTGCTTCCTCCTCTCTCTCTGCCTGCCTCTCTGCCTACTTGTGATCTCTGTCTGTAAAATAAATAAATGAAATCTTTAAAAAAAAAAAGTTACTAAATGCAACTTTAAAATTTTTTAAAAGTTGAGGTGCCTCGCTGGTTGAGTCAGTACAGCATGCAAATCTTAATCTTGGAGTCATAAGTTCAAGCCCCACATGTGGCACTGTGTTTACTTTAAAATTTTTTTAAATTTGTTTGTATTTTTTGAGTAATTTTTAAGGGCCTATTCAATGCCCACTCTAGTCCTAAAAAGATTGTCACTGTCAACAAAGAACTTATAGCCTAGAGGGAAATAATATATTAACATACAAGAAACATCTAGAAAATAGTGTAGTGTAAATTCTGTCATGCAGACGAAGTTCAGTAGAAGCTCAAAGAAAATGTGGACTTAGACTCATCAAAGAAGACTTCTTAGGTGGGAGATGACCTGGCCTTAAAGAAAAGGTAGAAGTAAATCAGTGAAATGAAGAAATCAGAGACTTCAAGTATAAGAAACATGAGTCCGTGTATCATCAAATAGGAAAGAATAACACATACTACATCAAAAACAGAGATTGGTATTGGGGAATAGATAGGGAAATGAATGCAACCATGTTTGAGATTCCTTTTTTGTTGAAGATTCTATTTATTTGACAGAGAGATAACACAAGTAGGCAGAGTGGCAGACGGAGAGGGAGAAGCAGGCTCTCCACTGAGCAGGGAGCCTCATGTGGAGCTCGATTCTAGGACCCCAGGATCATGACCCAAGCCAAAGGCAGATGCTTAACCAACTGAGCCGCCCAGGTGCCCCTGAGATTCTTTTCTTTTGCCTAAAGTGCCCTAATTTCTAATAGAAGAAAACAAGAGTATTTGAATTCCCTGCAACCCTGTGAGCCAAAATGTGATGACTTGAAGGGGGGGAAAAACACAATTGGAAGGAAATCTAGAATTAAATTAGACAAGTGTACCCTAAATATTAGGCAGTCTGTGGATTTTTACTCAGCAAATCAAGTGAGAACTCTTGAGAGGAAAGGATTTCATAGCCAATATTTTATTACCAGGGATATTTTTTTGCTGTAGATAAGAGTAATATTAATGCTATGAATTAAGCTATGCTATGAATGATTGTGAATTAATACCAAAGTACTGTTAAGCCAAATAGAAATACTCCTTTTCCAAATTCCTCTCTAATTTGCAACTAAGCCTTAGCTCAGGTTGTTTATTCAAGAGTGTCATTTCCCTCATCTTCACCTGTCTAAATCTTCTCAGGCTACCTACTCTGTGCATTAAATTTTCCCAGTTCATTTTTCCTCCTCAGCCGGACATGCCTTTTCTCTTTTTTGTGCTCATTCATATACCTGACTTAGAACAATTAATATATCGTGCTTTATGGACATGGATTATCTTAACTCTGTATTGTATACTCCACAAAATTAACATAGTGGTTGCTTGATGAATAGCAGTTGGTTGCTGAAAATCAGCAATAATATCTTTATAATAAATTTATTCTGAAAAGGCTGAATACCAGCTAGATAAATACAGAAATGCCTAGGCTCCTTCCTGGTAATATAAAAAGTTCTTCATCTTTTACTATGTTTACAGAGCTCCTTTGATTCTGTGTTAACCTACTAACACTCATGCCTCAAGTCTTATTGATCGTAAAATGTTGTCTTTAAAAATTTTTGTAATCAAAGCCAAAACCTGTGGGTAGGTTTATGAACAGTTAGAAGGCCCCTGCAATTTCAGTATCCCTCTGGAGAGCCATTGGTAATCCAATTGATAATCTAAAGCTTGTCAATGAAGTATAGTATAACTGTTTTCTGTTGGCCTTTATTTGTATGTCTCTGAGGAGATGGGAGATGATAGAATGGAAAGTACTTACATTAAAAAATACTTCTCAAGAAACACCATTACCATAATCATAAAAAAACAAATGTATTGAGCACCTGCTGCAATTCTTTGAAGTGTGTCTTTAAAGTAAATTATATCCTTCTGAATCCCTCTGCTTACTGGAACCACCTTATTGAGTGAAATAAGTTTTCTAATTTTCTTGGACAGTTGTGTAATTATCCACATCACACCAATGAAAGCTTTTTTTTTTTTTTTTTTTTAAGCGCTACTACACCCATCATGGGGCTTGAACTCAGACCCTGGGATCAAGAGTCTTGTGTTCTACCAACTGAGTTAGCCAAGCGCACCCCAAAGAAAGCTTTTAGAAATCTAAGACTAGGGCGCTTGGTTGCTCAGATGGCTAAGTATCTGCCTTGAGCTTGGGTCATGATCCCAAGGTCCTGGGACTGATTCCTGCCTTGGGTTCCCTGCTCAGGGGGGAGTCTGCTTCTCCCTCTCTCCCTGCCTCTCCCCCTGCTTGTGTTCTGTCTCCTTTTCTCTCAAATGAATAAATAAAATATTTTTTTTTAATCTAAAATGAAACTGTGGCTCAAATATTTAGCATTTGTTTTCCACTAGGACATTTAAATCGTATTTATAATGTGATAAGAATTTATTTTATATACCCTTAGAGCTTTTATATAAAATCTGTATGACATTTATGTCTTTTTCAGAAACCTATATGTAAATTACATTTTTTTGAAGGATCTGTTGTTGCTATTGAGTTTGATTTAGCTTTGAGGGTCGTTGACTTGTTGTATTTAACATTTAACCAAAAGCCAGAATTTCAACCAGCAATTAAGTAATGGTTTATATGGCAAAGCAATTTCCCCTCTATTGATTTGCTTTATGACCTGTTTCTAGGCATGTATTTTGATACCACCACCGCCTCCCCTCCAAAGGTGAGAACTGACTATTCCATGTGTACCTAGACCATGTGGAGAAAGGACTGAGACTGAAAACAGAAAACAGACATTGTCCGTATAGAGCAGAGTACCTCACAACAGCTCACTCCAGCAAAGGGCAATAAATGCCACACCAGATGATCTCTCATCACAAAACTGTAAGTAAATTTGAGGAAGCACAGGGGAATTAGACCGTTGTCCCTACTGACTCAAAAACTGTCTTCATTTTATAATTTGTGGCCTGTATGCCATAAATTAAGATGTACTGAACTGTTAAATAGTGGACTTTCCTAGTTTGTGAATAAGAATTTAAGGTAAAAGAAAGTGCAATATTCCCTGAAAAAGGAACTGGGAACCTTTGCCTTAAGACCTGAAAGGAAGGTTACATGAATTTGGATAACTGGGTTAAAACTACATAAATGGACCTTTGCCTAGAAAAAAAAATTAGAGAACTTCAGTCTTGATATAGCATAGAATAGGGAGACATTATGGCCTCTTCCAACAAAACAATGGAAGTTGACAAAGTAATGGAATTTTTGGAAATTAAATATAGCAGTACTATATAATATATAGAAGGATTCTGAGATATAAACTCCAGTGGCAAAGAAACTGGGCATGTGTAACTGTTGTAGTAATCTAGGAGTAAAGAAAACCTGAATAGAATAATATCACTGAGAATGGAGATGAAATAATAAATTTAAGATATTTTAAAGAAATCTGTAGAACATCATCATGAGTTGGATAAAAGGATGGTGTCAAAAAGTATGTTTTTGATACTGGAAGACAACAGCAGTATCACTGAAAGAGGACAGTTAAAAGAAGCTAGTGTGAGATAGATGCGTCCCATTTTGGTAATACTGAATTTAAGATGATATCCAGGCATTCCATTTGAAATCCTTTAATTAAAGATCACTGAATATAAAGAAGGGGAATTCTATGTAAAAGTCAACCTTGAAAGGTAAATTTATCAGTTATCCTCATAAAGCTGGTAAGAGTAGATCAGCTAACTGAAACTATTAAGGATAGTAGATCCCTTTCTTTTATTTCTTTTTTCTTTTTTTTTTCTTTTCTTTTTAAAGATTTATTAGGGGCGCCTGGGTGGCTCCGTTGGTTAAGTATCTGCCTTTGGCTTAGGTCATAATCCCAGGCTCCTGGGATCCAGCACCATATCGGGCCCCCCTGATGAGCAAGAAGCCTGTTTCTCCCTCTGCCTGCCCCTCCCTCTGCTTGTCCTCTCTCTTTCTCTCTATGACAAATAAATAAAATATTTTTTTAAAAAAAGATTTAGTAGCACACATGCACTTGCGAGTGTGCAAGCAGGGGGCAGTGGCAGTGAGAGAGAATCTCAAGAAGACTCTCCACCAAGCATGAGCCCCGTTCAGGGCTTGATCTCAAAACCCTGAGATCATGACCTGAGCTGAAATCAAAAGTCTAACACTCTACTGACTGAGCTACCCAGGCACCCCAATCCCTTTCTTTTAAAAAGAAATACGTAACACATAAATTTACATAAAGAAATTATTTCATTAGGTATATAATCTTAAATAAACATTCCCAAAAATCAACTCTCTTTTTGCCTAAAACTGTCATATTCCAAGCTTATGCCTGTAAGAAAATCCCTACACTTACATTAGTTATGAGAATTAATAACTAATGTGTGTTAATATTCTTGAACCTTACCTTCATGTCTATTAATAAAACAGAGATCTTTCCCAGTATTAGATTGAGGGAATGAAACTGAGAACTTAAAGTTCAAATAAGTGAGTCAGTTAAAACTTTATAAAATTGACATGGCTTTAATTTCTCAAATGGAAAGACAGGTAATTGAATTGTGGGAAATGTGCTGGTCTCCAGTTTCAAGAAACAGTAAAGCACAAAGACCTGGCATTCTGGCTGAAGAGCTATAATAATAAACAGAAATTTGAAAACCAGGAAGACAAGTTTTCCAAATGTGCAGTTTTGGCATTTCAAAGGAGATATAAGAAATTCCAGAAGATGGCCAAAAATAGGTTTAGATAACTGAGATTCCTTATATGAATACTTGTTTTTGATGGAGAAACACAGTTAAGTAGAAATGAAGGTTCTAAGAGGCTGTGACTTTCTTCTCACCCTAAATCAGGTTTGCTTCTGAAAAAAGGTGTTAGCCAGTACAAATCCAACAGGGATTCAGTAAATTGTAGCCAGGAATTTAAAAGTGACCAAAGGGGGAAAAAATTTAATTGAAAGAAAATATTTTGCTTTTCTAGGAGCTAAACAGTGTGTTGTAGGATTTCTACTTAGAGTATCAAAGTATCTTGTTCTGTTTACCTAGTTACTACTTGTTGTGAAAAGCAGCCACCTTCATCAGACAGAAATTCCACATTATTCTACATCTTGAATTGATTTTTTAATATATATACCATTTTAATGATATGTAAGGAACCCTAAAATGTTAATCAGTAATATGTCTTCTGGATATGTCAGCATCTTTTAGACCATTTCACCTCAACCTTTGAATCATTTGACTAATTCAAGTTCAATAAACCTAGGACTTCAAATCAGGTTATATAGAACTGGGAACATTTTTTTCTGTTTCTTTCCTAGTTACATCTGACTTACATGCCTGGTCTGATGACTTCTTTTTATGACTCCTAAATTGTGGAGGTAAGTCAAGATTTAATATCAATTATGGTCATATAACATTCATTCTGAACTTGTATTCCCTTAACATTTCTTTAATTACAAAGCATTCTTATAGCATTGCATTTTTATTAGCAAATTATGTATGTTCCAATTTTGCCTGGACTGTTCTACTCTGATTAAATGTGTAATTTTGTGTAACTTTCAACTTGTTAGTATTCCTATATACATCTGTATTTTCATTTCATTGGGTATGCTATTACCCAAGTAAACTTTTTTTTTTAAGATTTTATTTATTTGAGAGAGAGAGAGAGAAAGCACAAGCAAAAGTGGGGCAGAGGGAGAGGAAGAGGGAGAAGCAGACTTCCCACTGAGCAGGGAACCTAGTCATAGGGCTTGATCCCAGGACCCTGAGATCATCACCTGAGTTGAAGGCAGATACTTAATATACCGAGCCACCCACACATCCTACCCAAATAAACTTTTAATAGAAAAATACTATGGGATTTTTTCCTGTAGTCTTTAGCTTGAATCAGTTCCTTCAGACTCTTTTTACATAAAGTGTCATCCGTCTTTGAATCTACTATAATACTTGTTTTTCCAAGTGCCTATTCAGTGAGATACAGTGTTCCAAATTTTTCAGTTCAGTTGAGACCATTAAATGTCCAGCATTGTGGGGGAGTATAAAGATCAGTATAAAGCACAATCCCAGTCCTCATCTTAAAAGAATTCGTGGAGGGGCGCCTGGGTGGCTTAGTGGGTTAAATAAAGCCTCTGCTTTCGGCTCAGGTCATGATCCCAGGGTCCTGGGATCAAGCCCCACATAGGGCTCTCTGCTCAGCAGGGAGCCTGCTTCCCCCTCTCTTTCTCTGCCTGCCTCTCTGCCTACTTGTGATCTCTGTCAAATAAATAAATAAAATCTTTTAAAAAAAAAATTCGTGGAAGCTCATTGCAGCCAGACTTCTTGGGGGTGTCTTACTACAAGGAGAGTAAGCAAACCTCTCCTGTTTGGCTTCCAACTTGGGAACCCAAAGAAATTCAGATTCTTGCTGGAGTGTGAAGTAGTGGAAAGTAATATGAAATAGGAACACTTGGTTTTGGGTGTGTTTTACTCAACTGTTAAGAATAAAAAGCACTTTAAAATAAGGATCTCTGGGGGACCTGGGTGTCTCAGTCAGTTAAGTGTCTGCCTTGGGCTCAGGTCGTGATCTCAGGGTCCTGGGATCCAGCCTCACCAGGCTCCCTGCTCAGGGAGCCTGTTTCTCCCTTTCCTTCTGCTGCTCCCCCTGCTTGTGCTCTCTCTCACTCACTCTCTCTCTCTCTCAAATAAGTAAATAAAATCTTAAAAATATATATATAATTATTTCTGGATTTGAGATGTTGGTATGAAATGTGAAGGTACAGAATGCTGCCTACGTAAAATTTCTGTGTAATGAGACAAATCCTAAGCACATTTTAGTTCAGGGAGCAAAATCCTATTTATTTTGCTGCATGTTGTTGCTCTTTTACTCTGTGCCATGCTTAATACTTACTTCCATTTACCATGTAAGGTGTTAACTTTCTTTCCATTAAAAGATTTTTGTGGTTGGATCTATCTCATAGTTTAGGTAAATATTAAGACATTTCCTAAGCTTAATATTAATGACATAATGAGTTTTTTGGTGAAATTTTTACATAAAATTTCACCTCTAATAGGTCTGATAGAAGGCCTAATAATTCTTGAAGTGTAGTTCTGTGGCAAAGCTAGTGAGTAATTATGGCTTTTACTAGGTCATTGGTAGTCCAGAAATCTTAAGTATTTTTAGTAATGTATTCTCATGTCAACTCTATTTCTTGAACTTTGTTTGAAACACTAAGTTTGATATCACATTTCTCTTTCATGGGTTCTTTGGCGCCAGGAAGGTGATAAAATTTCCTAAATTTATTTTTTAAAAAATTCTCCCATAGTAGCTCTTCTATATTGCTAAACTTGCTGGTAAGGAGTCAACTCCCCCAGCACAGAGGAAAAATAAAGTAGAATATGGGAGGTTTAGAGTGCTCTAAGCAAGTCTTTCGTTATCTCAGCAATGTTTCTGGTGATGACCATTTCTATTATTTGTGATAGAGAACCAATACAAAAACTTACAAAGCAAAACTGAAGTTTGTCAGTTGTAAGCAGTATAGAAGATAAATTTGAAATATCTTATGATTCCCTAAAACATGTATTATTGCTCTAGCTGCTTTCCTTTGACCATTTTATGTCATTTCAGGCTCCTGATTTCAGATATATTTTGGAAGCACCCCAAATTAATTCCAACTTTACCATAACCTAAGAACTCTTTGTAATTGTGATTTGTATATTAAATTCAAGAGTAAATTTCAACATTAGATCTCCTTTTTAGAAAATCTTTTTAGGAACATCTTCCAATCACTTATAAGGTAAAATTATTGAGGTTCAAGAATAAGCTATTTAGGGGTGCCTGGGTGGCTCAGTGGGTTAAAGCCTCTGCCTTCGGCTCAGGTCATGGTCCCAGGATTCTGGGATCAAGCCCAGCATCTGGCTCTCTGCTCAGCGGGGAGCCTGCTTCCTCCTCTCTCTCTGCCTGCCTCTCTGCCTACTTGTGATCTCTTGTCTGTCAAATAAATAAATAAAATCTTAAAAAAAAAAAAGGATAAGCTATTTAGTACCTTATCCAAAATAAAGCCATGGATGATGGAGAGAAGCTAAAATAAACATAACAGAAGTAGGAGAATAGGGTAGACCCAACTACTAATGGTCCTGTTAAGGACTGACAGAACTTACTGTATCATTGTGATAATTCATGTTTATATATGAGATGGATTGATAGGTATGTATGATTTGATAAGTTTTCAGCATCATTTGCCCAAGACAAGCTTCTGCCATTATTTTCTTATAATTTAAATTAACACTGACAAGTCAGTTCAGTCAAGAAGTTAAGAGTTAAGTGGTATCTGTATGAAAATGTTGAAGTTTTTTTCTTTTCTAAAGCAGGTAAGAGTTTTTAATTTGCCTGTGGTGCATCTAATATATCCCTGTTTTCTTCATACTGTATTTGCCTGCCTCCCTTTCTAAAATGAGACTCTATTTTTTACATATCTTGATATCCCAGTGACAGTGTCCCATTCTATTTTAGAATAAACACAAAAGGCTTACTGAAATGATCTTGACAGATGTGTCTCCAGATGCGATAATCTCTAAAATATTTATCAAAATAACTCAATCTACTATTTTCCTAATGAATAACATATTTTTCCTACACTTTTCCTAATGAATAATATATTTTTTTAAATTGAAATAGTCTATCTCCTAAAAACCTCTGCATTGTGAATTCATAACTTTTGAGAAGTTGTTAATAATGCTTGTTATTCTTAATAATAATGCTTGTTATTCTGATTAAACCCATTGTCAATGTTATGAATTGTTTTTGTGAAAAAACTCTAGAAGGGAAGGCATTGTTTTGTTCCCTGTAGTATCTCCGATGCCTAAAATAGTATCTGGCACACAGAAGGTGTCAGTAAATATTTACTGAATGAATGAATGAATGTCATATATATTGTGTCTCCATAGATAGTATGTTTCTATTAGCATGTTAAAAAGAATATTTTATTTCTCAACTCAGAGTAGTTTTCTGCAAATGTGAATGACTGAGAACATATTAACAGTAATTTTTTAAAAGATATTTATTTGAGAGAAAGAGAGAGTGTGAGAGAGAGCATGAGCACTCGCGGCAGGCAGAGAGAGAAGCAAGCTGATGCTTAACCAACTGAGCCACCTAGGCATCCCCTAACAGTAGTTTAAACATTTCCTGTCTTATTATTTGCCAACCTTTTAAAATATTTTTTGTTTCAGTATTTTTTAACCAGTTATCAGTTTTTTAATGCTCTTATCAGCAAAGCTCTATACAGAATTAAACAGTGTTGTATATATAAACATGCCAACTGCATCCAACTAGTTAAGTCACAAAATGTCGGAAACTTACCAGAATAAAAATATTGTGCCCTAGAATATGGTGCTAGCAAGGAAACCAAATACATCATCCCCAAAATTAAGATGACACAGTAAAACAACTAAATTGACTTTTTTGCCAAAAAGAGGGGATAGGTGCCACCAAAACCAAAATACTTATTCATGGGGCTTATTCTCTTATTTGGGTCATTATTTTCAACTGCTAACCTTGATGTTACTAATCTCGAAGTATTTTTCACTTCTACATTATACATAACCTGTTGAGATACTGTTAGGAAATTATAAAAGTATTTCTTCTCTACAATCTAGTACACAAATCTATAATTGGTAGAAATTTCAGGAATGCAATTCTTTACTAGGAAAGGTAGTATAAACATTTGTATCAGTATAAGATAATGGGCTGTACTATGCCATTATAGTCCCCCTAAAATTCTTTTCTCCACACACACATACATGTTTCAGGTATATCTTCTTCCTTTTTTTTTTTTTTAAATAGATAATACATCTTCATGATCTGGTTAAAGTAGGTCTTCCTTCCACACCTAAACCCCACTAACCCTGTTCCCTTCTACATAGGTGTCCCCTATCTTTGCTGAAAATTCTATACATGTATAAGAAAATGAGAATGTTTCCACAGATGGAAACTACACACACACACACACATACACACACACACACACACACATACAATAGAAATATATTTTCCCCTTTATACATCATTCTGCACCTTGCATTTTTTCCACTTACAGATATTTGATGATCTTTCCTTAATTTGTAAACTGTTGCCCTATTCTTTTTAAGGCTACATAGTATTTCATGGTGTGGACCATAATTTACCCATTCCCATTGATGAACTGAGTTTATTTCTTATCTTTTGCTATTATGATGATGTACTTTCTCTCTTGAATATGAGCTCTTTGAGGATAAGAACTTTTGTCTTACTCATTTTTTAATCCTGAAAACCTACTAGGATGTCTAACAAATGTTTAACATACGTCTTTGAACGAATTAATTGTACTTTTTAAAAAGGTACTCAACTGCTTCCATGCAGGTTTTTAAGCTTGCTGTGTGTTTGGTGCTCTTTGAGTTAATGTTTCCTTTTCTAGATGTTTATCCTAGGGTTCAAAATGACACATATATATATGAAGAATTCCTACAAGAGGAATCACTAAGTCATGGTATATGGATATTTTAAATGTAAGGAGAGGTTATTCAGAAGCTTTTCACCAAATGTAGGTGCTAATTAGTAACAGTTTATTCCTCTCACCAAATGTTTAATAATGCTTTACACACAGTAGTGTTAAAACTATTGAGTTGATTGAGCTCACATTCAAGTGAAAAAAGTTTGTTTTTATGATGGTCATATAAGTCTGTACAGAGGAAAGGTCTGATTAATATGCCTGGGAAAGAGGAAAAACAAGGCCTCACAGAAGAGGTACAATTGAAAGTAGGCCACCAGTCTTCATTTTATTTTCTTTATTTTTTTTAAAAGATTTTTATTTATTTATTTGTCAGAGAGAGAGAAAGCACGCACAAGCAGGCAGAGTGGCAGGGAGAGGCAGCGAGAGAAGCAGGCTCCCTGCTGAACAAGGAGCCCGATGCGGGGCTCGATCCCAGGACCCTGGGATCATGACCTGAGCTGAAGGCAGCAGCTTAACCCGCTGAGCCACCCAGGTGACCCCAGTCTTCATTTTCTTCATCATCATCATTGCTGTCACTAATAGTTACTTAGTGTCTACCATGTGCCAGACAGTGTGTTGAGTACTTTGCATTATCTCCTTTTATTTTCATATATCCTATAAGGAGATACATTATCCCCATTTGATAGATGAAGATGCTGAAGCAGAGAGAGCTTAAATAATTTGCCCAAGTCATATAGGAAGTAACTGATTAAGCTGAGATTTGAAATCAAGCAGTCTGATTCCGGAACCCACTCTTGAGAGCTTCTTTTCATGAAGAAAAGAAAGGGAAAGGGGCATTGAAGGTAGAAGGAACATGTGCCAAAGCACCAAGTGGACAGTGTTATTTAGAGAGCAGCAAGCAGTTAGTGTGGCATAAGCACCGTTGAGGTATAGTTGCCCAAGATGGCATACTAGGAGATAAGACCAAGAAGTTAGGATGAGTACGTATGTGACTAACACACATGCCATAAATACGGAATTTCCAAACAAGAAAATGGCAATTTCTCTTTACTCTAAAAAAGAACAGAGATCTTCATTTCTTTTTCTGAGATTGCTCTGACATGATGGTAATCTCTGATTTCAATGTTTTGTTCATGGCGAGAGCTTCAGGCCTTTGTATCCTTTCGAAGCTATAGCATTCACTTTTGTCTTCAGAGGATAATGTTCTAGTGCTGACTAGGTGGAAGCCTTCCATTAATAAAGTGTCGATTAGTAAGCCGAGGACATTAGTTCCGTTGGCCAATTTTCGGTTATCTGGTTTTATAGAAACATACCTAGAACACACAACAGATGTTTGATTATAAAGCATTCCCTTAATAACCAGCAAAATTAAACGTACCAATTTGATTTAAAACCTCAAATAAAGTCATCATACCATTTTTGATCAGTTTTTTTGAGACTTCCTTTATAAATCCAAATTAGTAATTGCAGGGTACTGAAAATAGAGACCTTTGTGTGATCTCCAAAGTCACTTAAATCCACATTTAGGAATATAACCAACATTGATGAATTTTCATTGAGAAATTATTTTCTGGAGCAATTTGTCCAAACAAATTAGCTTAATCTTTTAATATAATTTAACTATTTCTAATTTCATTTCAACTTAATGTTATTTTAATCATCTTAATGAATTGATTCAATCATTTTAATGAATATTTTAATACATTTGGTTGCCCCCCCCAGATCTAATTCTACCCATTAAAAGCACTGACCTTACAGATTTTTACTTTTGTAACTTATTTCTATCAAATGCATTTTTTCAGGTACAATTTTGCAGATTAAAAATGTCAATATTTTATTGTCAATTTTTACTCAGTAACTATCCATTGTTAAAGAGTAAAGCACAGGGTCAAAAGGCCTCTGGAGTCAAAAATGACAAAATTTTATATTTCCTAGGAAATTCTATGGAACCAATATGCACAGTTCAAGAAAAAAACCAACCTGAACTTTTCAGATTGGCTGTATGTTAGTTTTAATAATGTCAGCGTAACATGTCCACATTGATATAGCTGTATTACCCTTTTAAATACTATCAAGGTTATTTTTATGTCTTTGAGTCCTCTCAGCATTTGTTTATTTGACTCGAGGGGCACCTGGGTAGATCAGTGGGTTAAGTCTCTGCTTTCGGCTCAGGTCATGATCTCAGGGTCCTGGGATTGAGCCCAGCATCGAACTCTCTGCTCAGCAGGGAGCCTGCTTCCCCCCCTCTCTTTCTGCCTACCTCTCTGCCTTCTTGTGATCTCTCTCTCTCTCTGTCAAATAAATAAATAAAATCTTTTAGAAAACAACAACAACAAAAAAACACTTTGAGATAAAGATGGGGTCTTAATTTCTCTTCACAATCAACCTATTAATTTAACTGGCTCCCTTTTCCCAAAGTGACATTTCAACCTTTCGTGGGAGGGCAGGAAATTATTAAGTGTACTAACTGAAGAATTGTCATATTGCCCAGTGTTCTTCAGTTGGTAAGTAGAACAAAGGAGTGTGTTGTGGGAGAGGCAAACTGCTAAAGTCAAGAAAATATTCCTAAACTATGTGTACCTTTTCTCCCCCCCCAAAAAAAAAAAAAAATTTAAGTAGTATCAGTAAAGACCATATGCAGACTACTTTTTTCCCTCCTGAAAATTAAAGCCAGCTTTCAGTTACTAAAACAATGGTGGGACAGTTACTAAAACATTAAGACATTTTTAAGAAGAAAAAAAAGTGTCCCTGACAGCAGAGTAGAAATCAGCCTTAGTGTTCAGCCAAGAACAACAGGGGAAGAAAGTGAATAATTGACTCAGGAGCAACTATCCTTAACATACTGACAGCCTATCCCAATATTTTGAGTTGTCTCAGAGTGCCAAAGATATAATGGATACCAAATTTGCTATGGGATATATCTGCCATAATGGTGTTTAAAAGTAAAGTGAGATGGAGGAAAATCAATAGTCAAATCATAAGGACTAAAAGAACAAATATATGTAGAGTGTAAGGAAATCAAGAGAAACTACTGAGACTTTCCTATATGCCAACCACTAAAAGAATCTTCTGGGGGGAAAAAAGGCGTTGTCTCTCTCAGTCCTAAGCCAAATTCACTAACAATGAATCTATAATCTATATCTATAAAATAATCTATAAAATTATCATATAATTTTCTATAAAATTATTTCTATAATCTATAAAATTATTTTATAATTTTATAAATTATTATATAATAATCTATAAAATTATTTCCTCTTAAAACTTGAATGACCATGGTTCCAATTTTCCCTAGACAGTCTTGGTTTATTCCTATTGTCCTACATAGTAACAATACCCTTTTTCCCTCTGAAAAATAGCCGTTTGGACAATAATTATCTGATCATTCTACCCAACTCTACTTATTACCTCCAAAGCATTTGAGTAATAATTTTTTCCAAGAAAAGTTTCAGCCATGAGAAACTTGCAGTTTTGAGGGGAAACATCAGGAACTCATATTAGAAGAGAGATACTTCAAAGTACAAAATACCTGACTCCAGTTTGGTTATCAGTAATGCTGTCAGAGCCACATTGGAAAACCAGGTCATGGTAAGAAGGTCTTTGTGGAGGCAGTGGAAGTAAGGTCATCTGAGGAGGGAAGGAGTTACTACTCCAGGTCAGTGCTGAAGGTTGCTCTATAAACATTGTAATCCTCCCAGTTAGCATCTCAATTGTTTTGCTGCAAGAGCCAAACACTCTGAAAAATGCTTGAGTGTTTTGGCTTAGGAAATGCACCTCCACAAGAGCAGGTCTTGGCTGTAGCAGGTGTTCTTGGTTTAAGAGATCAACCAGAGGATCCAGTTCATAGAAAAGAGCCTCTCTCTGAAGCCTAAGATGGTCTGAAAAGTCGGTGGGTAATAAAAGCTGGTGCGTTCTCAAAAAATCCAAGATGAAACTAAATAGAACACCATCTCTGTCCACAAAAATCTGGCCACCAATCATCTTGAATTCTTGGTCTCTGCCATCTATCATTCGTGTCAACCGAGAAGCAGGAAACTGCTTTATGGTAGAAAACTTTGTTGTGAATATCTTCCCTCCCACATTCAAAGTGACCAGTTCCTGACTACTCATCCTTTTCTTGCTTCAAACTAGAGGCTATACAGACTTAGGAACCTGCAAATCAACCTCTAGCCATAAATGTTGCTAGTTATATATGATTAAGAAACGAATGGGTGGGGAAAATAACAAAAGAGAACTAGATTCCCATATAACTACTCTAAAGCAAATAGTGTATCCATAGCTGTGTTTGCAAATTTGAGTTGCTTGGGAACTTGCAGTATACAAAATGAAAAAGCAACAGATGAGGAACTGGAGTGTTTAAGAAAAACGGCTAATATTTCTAAGGATAGATGTCAACTAGATCCCTTTCCTGTATCCCATTAAGAAAAAATTATCCATGGGGGCACCTAGGTGGCTCAGTGGGTTGAAGCCTCTGCCTTTGGCTCAGATCCTAATCCCAGGTCCTGGGATCAAGCCCCGCATCAGGCTTTCTGCTAGGCAGGGAGCCTGCCTCTTCTTCTCTCGCTGCCTGCCTCTTTGCATACTTGTGATCTGTCAAATAAATAAATAAAATCTTTAAAAAAAAAAATTATCCATGAAAACCTATTGTAAATCTCTATTTTAAAAAAAGTACTGGGAGGGATGCCTGGGTGGCTCAGTGGGTTAAATGTCTGCCTTCAGCTCAGGTCATGATCCAGGGGTTCTGGGATCGAGCCCCACATTGGGCTTCCTGCTCAGTGGGGAGTCTGCTTCTCCTTCTCCCTCTCCCTCTGCCCCTTCCCCTGCTCATGCTCTTTCTCTCTTGCTCCCTCTCTCAAATAATCTTTTATAAAAAAGATTTAAAGATTTTAAAAATCTTAAAAAAAAATGCTGAGAGAAGAAAAGCATTCCCCTTTCCCCAGATCTCTTTATCTATAATAAGTTGTCATGGCAGAAGATTTACAGAGAAACATTATCGTAATTTATAAACCCTTTAGCAATTTAGGGGCTAAATCATGAATTATCAGTTATGGATGAGGCAGCCATTACCTCAACTAGCAGCTTAATTTGACTCTTATTCCCATTGCTGGATTCTTTTGTACTTTAAATTTAGTTGCTTCCTCTCAACCAAATTAAAGAACAGGGTAGACACTCTGGGCTTTCCAAGGATTATCTTGTTCCATGACAGAAATAGGGGACTAGAGAGCAGTTCTAAGATCACTTCTTGTTTTCATCTGGATTCTATGCAAGATGAGTACATGAAGTATTTTTAATCTACGGGAGGTAGGAGGCACCTGGGTGGCTCAGTCCATTAAGCATCAGCCTTCAGCTCAAATCATGATCCCAGGGTCCTGGGATTGAGCCCTGCATCAGGCTTCCTACTCAGCGGAGTCTCCTTCTCCCTCTGCCTCTCCTCCTTGCTCTTGGCTCTATCGCTCTCAAATAAATTTAAAAACAAACAAACAAAAAGAAACTGTGGGAGGTAGGACATCTTTATCTCATGTGAGCATTAGGGTTTTAATTCCCCCCTAGTAGTGTATGTATGTATGTATTGCTATTTTATTTTTATTTAAATCCTAGTTAGTTAACAAATACGTTTTTAGCTGATTACTTTGTTGTACCTTATAATAGCTGAAAGATTGTTCCATCTATTGTTAAATTAATCTTACTACTCTTTGAAAAGATGTTAAACGGTGGATTGGTTTCATTGCACAGTTGCCATGATACTTTGGAATAGCATAACACTTAGCTGCCAGTAAAAAGACTTTCCCATTTCCTGTTCTTACCATGTGTTAAGCTTTTTTTTTTTTTTAAATATAACCTACACCTTTGCTTGCACAGCCACCTAACATTTCCTTTGAATTCCTTTGGTGATAAATTCACAAAACCAAAGTAGGAAAAAGGCAAGCAGAAATCTCCACCCTCCTAAAAATGTAAACTTAATAGAAGAAAAATGCCACTTTTTGTTCACCTGAAATTTGCATTTTAACAAAAAAGTAAAATTTAGAAATTCAAATCTAGAAAAATGTGAAATCCAACTCACCCATATCTTCTTTCCTTTTTTAAAAGAATGTCCCGTCTCCAAAAAAGTTACTTTACAAGAATAGTCTTTATTACTTGCTTAAATGAACAATCACTGTTAAACTACCTCATTTACACAATATTAGATCATGTGCTTTCACCTCTTTTCCATAGCATAAACACAACCAATACTGGGGATAGGAGGCATATTACAAAAGCACTATTTAAAAAGGGAAGAGGGGTCAGGACTTACTATTAAATCTCACATTTATCTTTATTCTACATGAACAACATGTAGAAGACATTATTTTTGAAAGGAATATTTTTGCAGGAAAATATCTGACTGAAATCTTGACCAAATCTGAACTACCACTCAGCTCTCTAACAAATTTCTAACAAAAGACAGAGAACTATACACTTGCAACAGATTTTATAATAGTTTATATTTGCACACAAATTCTGCCACATTGTTCAGCACCACCAAAGTAAAATTCTTAAATCTTTCACTGAAAATGAAAAACCCATCCATCACCTGTTCCCAGTAAAACATTGATTCTTCTACAAAATCAGCTGATTTAGTCAGATAGGAACTGAAGTTTGAGAGATGGTCTTTCCAACTTGTGAATTCATCAAATAAAGACCCTTCTAGGAATATAGTGGGACCAAAGAAAATAAGAAGGCTAAGCAGAATGACTACCACAAATAACTGATAAAAGCTCCAGGGAATCTTGCTAATGAATGTGCCAGTGTCTTGAGGCAAAGAAAGTTTATCCACATCTACTAATTTTATGTCTTCCCACTGACTGGTATCAAAGTTCTTCATTAAAGGGCTTGTGGGCAAATTAGAAGGAGGTAAAGGAGTTTCCTTGATTACTTTTATTTTCTCTCTGAACTCCTGCATTTGTTGCAGAAATATGATGGGTTCTGACACATCTTTGAAAGCCTCAGCAATGTTAAAGGCCATTCGTTGTTCCTGCAAGATGGTGTTGAGTTTGTTGATCTCTGGGTCATAGGCTTGCATAACTGCAAGTTTCATGGTCTCAAAGTCAGACAGGATTTCATTCTTTTTTTGATCTAATGTATGTTGTAACTTCTCAAAAAACTCCTTTACTTTATCTGAATCTTTAGTCAGTAACTGTAGAGATTTCCTTTTGCTAGTTTCCAGGGTATCCAAGCGAGAAAGAGCATCTCCTCGACGCCAGGTCTCAAAGCTCTGGAAGAGGGACTCAAAGGCATCTCTTTCCTGAGCATAGGCATCTTCAATAGAACAGAAGACATGCTTGGTGTGGTCACCACGAGTAGCACAGATCCCACAAATCAGCTGCATATCAGTCAGGCAGAAAATGTTGAGAGGCTGCCCTAAGTGTCCTTTGCACACTGGCATTTTGGGAGAGATCTTGATCTTGTTATACTTCTCCACAATACCCTTCAGGGAGTAATTAACCTGTAGGCTATTAACTCCAGTAGCTGAAGTTTCCTTACGGCAAGTAGGGCACTTGAACGGAGAGGATCTCCACAGGGAATTCCGCACAGTCCCTTCTAAGATCCCTTCTAAGCATTTTTTGCAAAAGTTGTGTGAGCAGGGCAAAACTCGAGGATCATCAAACAGACTGCAACAAATTGGGCATGTGAGATCTTCTTCAAGCAGCTCCATCACATCCTACCACAGAGAAAGAAACATTTTACTCCAGTAATCCCCTCCACTCAGACTATGTAATAATCAGAAGAAACCATCTTCAGAAGCATTAAAAAATGATCTCTAACAGAAATAACCAGGCAAACAAAGGAAATGAGTGAGAAATTTGGGAAGGGAATGCACACCAAAGCAGATTTAATCAGCTGGGACTAGAACACACTCCTTATTAGCAGGACTCCCTGTACACAAGGCCTTTGTGTGGGCTTTCCAACAACAGTCTTTGGCTGAGATAGGGTTAGGTCTAGGACAACTGCAAGTTGAGCCAGCAGGACCTAACTGATTGTTTTAAAACAGAAAGCTGACTACTAGCTGTCAGAAACAAAGCTACTCAGTGTCTGAATAGAATGAGCTCTTTAGTCTGGGCCCACAATTATAAAATGGTATGCTATTTAAAAGAAAGAAGCACAGAAATATAAATTCAAGCATGCATCTCATGCAGGCTTTTATTAAAAACTGGCAAATTTTTCTATTTCAGAGGCAAGATTATAATTACTCAAATTGTAAGTAAAAACATGAGAGTTGCGATTCATTCTTCAGAGAATTAAATGAAGTTTTCTTTTAAACCACCACAACTGTCTAATGTGCATCAATTCTCAAAATGTGAGCAGAGATCTGGTGTTCCTAAGACTCTTTCAAGTCATTTGTGAAGGTCAATACTTTTTTCACAATAATACTGAGATGATATTTGCTTTTGGCACCATGTTGACAATTGTACTGTAAAAGCAATGGTGAGTAGACACTGCTGGAGGCTTAGTGGGAATCAAACAAGGCAAAAGGCAGTACCCAAACTGTACTACCAGTTATTGTACTCTTCATTACCACACACCCATGGTATGGGTGGGAGTAGCCAGCTTCATTTAAGAATGTTCTTTATGAAGCAGCAAAAATTACTCATTTTATTAAATCCTGATCAGTGTGTACATGCCTTTTTAATATTTTCAGTGACAAAAAAGGAAGTAAACAAAGCATTTCTGCTGTACCCAACAGATATTGTCTGGAGAAAAAGCACTTTCATGACTGAGTCGCAATCTGAACCAGCTGTTTTTTTATGGAACACAATTTTATTTGAAAAATGAATGACAAACTGGCTATTTAGACTTAGGTAAAGCATCTACTCAGAAATGAACAAAATAAGCCCTTCACTTCAAGGAAAACATGGTATTTCTGGCCAATGATTAAAGTTAAGTTTTTGAGTGAAAATTAGAATTTTGGAAAACATTTGGCCACGTAAGTGCTTACTTCCCATTATTTTCTAATGAAATAAGTGGTAAATTTAACAAGTGTGGGCTTTTACTCTATTAGGGGGGACATTACTGTATAATAAAATGTTAACATTTGGAGATCTGCATTACACAATTAACTAATTAGTTCAGATCATCAATGCATGTTACAAATCATGCAAATCAGGCAAAAGATCCAAAGACCAACACCTTCAATAATATGATTTCAGATTCATATTGCAACTTTTTAAGAAATTACCACTTTTGAGTTTTGGTATAGTATCAAAGAAGATCCACAATTATCAGAAAAGGCTATTAAAGTATTCTTCCCTTCACCAACTATTTATCTGTGTAAGGCCAAATATGATCTTTGTATCTTTCAACCAAAATAACTTATTTTAACAGGTGTAATGCAGGGACAGATAAAAGACTCGTTATAATCTATTAATAACAATTCATTAAAGAGATCTATAA